AAGGACTGTAAGCTGCCTTCCAATGCTTCCATGCTTCCCTTTTTGTTTAGTAACAGAATGTTTTTTCAACTAGAAAGTATATAGTTAAAGGGCTGTATTTTCAAGCCTTTGTAGCTGTTGCATAATGAGATGTGGACAGAACTATCTAAGTAGGTTTCTGTGACAGCTCTTTAAAGGGTTCATATAGTTAAAATTGTGCAACTTCCACCTTTTCCATTCCTTTCCTTCCTGGAACATAGACATGATGGCTGGAGAGTCAGTAGCCATCTTGTGACCATTAATATTCCTGAGGAAGAAAATCACATGCTAAAGATGACAGGTCCAGACACAGAGAAAATTCCTTAATATTTCATCATATCATATATGCATCTGCCTTGAACTACCTACTTCTGAACCTTTGCAAGCAAACACAAAATCCTAATTTATATATTCCAATCTGTGCTAGAAACTGAAAGCCATCCATCACTTACTGATAGGGCATACTATAGCAGCTTTAAGAGATCAGGCCCAAGGGGCTGGGGATTTAGCTCAGCAGCATAAGCGCCTGCCTTGCAAGCGTGTGGTCGTGAGTTTGATCAGGCCCACATTTGACTTTTGGGCTGACAAGATGAAAACTGAGATTTGAAAGTCACCATTTATCGAAGATCAAGCACTCATGAGATTCTATCCTTCTCTTTAGTTCGAGCTTACAAAACCACTATCATCCACCTAATTTCCCTGAATTGACCCTTCCTTAGGAGATAGACCTTTTACCCATCATTAGAGCCTGCTCCTAGTAGTACTCAACATCCCTCCCCCTACCTGGGCTGCTGTGGTAGTGTGATTAGGTAAATCTTCTCTACCAGGTCTCCTAACTTTGGCGTTTGGGCAGTGGTCAGCCTCATTCATGTCCAAGGGCTGGTCCACCCATGAGAAAGCACCCATGAAAAACCCTGCATGCCACTGGGGAAAAACAGGCCAATGTTGGTTGCCTCACGTGGCCTATAGTGAAAACTGTGGCTTTAACTGAGGTGACCCCACTCAGATCCCATTAAACACCAGGCTTCACCACCAAAGCACAGTCACTCCTTAATTACATACTTTATGAGCCTAAGCAAGACTGGTATGAATGGATCAAAATGCTGACACCAGCCCAAGGCAAATCAAAGGATCCCAGTGTCCCTATTCAAGCCTATAAGGAAGAGCAATATGTTTAATTGAAAAAATATTTCTAAACATAATATGACACCTGATCCTGTACTTTCTAAGAATTATTAGTATTATAGTCTTAATTATATTTTTGGACTCTAAGATCAAACAAAGATGCCAAACTGTAAAGTTAAACCACACTATCTCTCTGCTACAAGGTCTTGGTGAAATTATTTCAATTTATTTCTCATCTCATCCTTATGCATTAAGATTTATTAAGCTGTATTAGGATTTGTTATGCTTTTACTACCAAAGTTTTGGTTTCCAAATGTTTTTATATTACTGATATGGCATCCCCTCTTTTCTTCAAAATTTTGCCCTTTTATTTTATTCAAAGACGAAATGACTCGTTTTTGCTTTAATTATACCAGATGCCTGTCCTTTTGCTCTATCCTCTATCAAATACTGTTACTGGAAAAGTTCTGCTTAGAGGAGGAGGATTATTAAATATATCTGACTTTTTTTCCTGTCATCACTGGTTATATGCCAATTCAGAGGCAACTGATATATATTAAATAATTAGTAACACAAAGAGGAGAAAAATGCTGCTTTTGAGTGTGTAATAAGACATCATGCTGGGAAGCAAAAAGATTTGAAAAGTCAGAGCTGTGAGGAAAAGCATCACACATAAATGAGGAACTAGACACAGTTCCTTAAGGGAGAAGGAAAGAGTTTGTGAAAAAGTAAAGAATAACTTAAAACTTGTCACAGCATTAATTTCAGGCCTTCGCAACTTAAATTCCTAGATTGTAACATTCAAAAATCATTTTTCTACTTTTGTTCATCATTACAAAAATCTTTCTAGAAGTAGAAAATCAGATAAGATGTCTCGATTCAATTTCAAAAATTCTATCTGAGTCTATGATGGTTACTTTGATGGTATACTTCTCAGGTTACCTTAAGACTTATATTTCAACTACCTTCTTAATCCAACTTAGAGAAAGCGATATTTGGAGAAATAATGTGACATATTCATGATCACACAACAAGATTTGGGAGAGTAAAAACTAGAAGTCAGATCTCCAAATTCCTAGGCTCTTCCCACCCGCAGAAGACCGAGCATCTGACTCTTTGAGTCTCTGTATGTCATACATTTGTCTGAATTCAAATCCTCTCATTGAGGCTGAGGTATGATTCAGTTATCTAAATGGCTTCTTCCTGCTATGAGGGAAATGGGACACATGCTGAACTCACAGATGTATTTTCTGGTCTCAAAGCAAGGTAAGAAGCCCAATACAACTGTATCTTCTGAGAATTTGCTCTAAGCCATGTAGCACAATTACTAGAAGCTCCCTGACATAATCACTGTGAAAATCCAACGTGTATTCCATGTTTCCCTGGCTCCCCCTTTCAAAGTACAAGTGCCATTGCTCTGACCACAGGAAGAAAATATCTGGGGACCCTGACATTTCAGGAGTGGGAATTTATTTGGGCCCAAAATTTATTTGAATTAGTCTGCCAGCTACTGTCAAAGACAGGGATACCCTCATCTGGAACCACTTTAATCTCATGTCAGATGAACTGTTTTCATCATGTCTTTTTCTTTTTCACTATAAGAATTTTCATATATTTCATTATACATTTTTCAAAGCATCATCTTTGGGCTGAAAGCATCAACAGAGTCTTTTGCTTCTTCCTTTACCTGATTTTATGAAAACAACATACTAGAATCTGAATACTTAAGATATTCTGGGTTTTTGAATAAGCACAAGTAGTAAGTTTGGTCACAGACATCAGGAATCATTTTCAATATCTCTTTGAGAAGAGTGATGTGAGACTCAGTGTGTCTTTGTTAAGAACTGGGATGTTACAGAAAGCTCTTACTACAAGATCCCTGATTTCCCTCAAAGCTGGGTTTAATTCAGTAAGAAAGAATCACATTAATCAAGAAACAGGTTGCATGGCAGAAAAAGATATGGGTCATGTGAGTTTAGCATAGCCATTTATTCAGTGATCTTTGCAAGCATTTAATCTCAGAGCCTTGGTTCCTGCTTTATAAGGGGGGACTTGTAATATCTACAAGTAGTAGTGGATTAAAAGTTACTAATAGAATTCCTGGGTCCAAATAAATTCCCACAAGAAACCATACTAATGGAAATTTCAGAGAAAGATAAAATTTCTGTGTTTTTTACTTAATTATTGTAACACACAAGCTGCAAACTTTCACAGATACAAACAGACCTCACATGTGGGTTTTTATGATTTACAATGTATTTTTGTGTCAAAGATATATAAAACTCACTTTGCCAGACTTATGAATGAATCCAGTTTACAAACATTCTCCCAGAACAGAATTCTTTGATAAGCTGGGGACTTATAGTATATGGAAAGGCAGCCCAACATCACATTTAGCTTGAAGACCATTCACTATATGCAGTGTACCCATTTTGAACAATTACATCCTGACTTGCTCATGTTGACCATTTCCTAGTGATCTTTTTCTGAGGCAGGAGATCTCTCTTTCTAGAGGTGGTTACAGGCAATTAGGAGACCTTTCCATTCCCACATACCTGCACAGTAAAGACCACTACCACCAAATGGTCAGCAGATGTGGGGTTAAAAGCAATCAAAAGCTTTCTTTGGCATTAAACCTCCCAGTACAGAGCTTAAGAAAAAGTCCTTCTTGGCAGCCTGGTTGGCAGAAGCACGATTGTTCTCTAGTAAACAAACTATGACTATGCCATAATTATATTGTTAGAAAAATTAGAAGCTGTGTATCTGAGCCAACTGCATCTTAGGTCCTTCCTTCAGAGCCTGTGGACCTGGTTCTTAAAGATGTATTGGCAGTCCCCATGCCATTCCTGAATTTTAACAACTAACCTCATCTTTAGCAAGTGGAATGTACATGTTAAGTGTAATGGGCTGTGCCTGTCAGGAAAAACCATGTGTTCAGTTACCTACGGATGTTGTCAAATCATCTCAGATTTTCGGAGAGCCACAAAATTGAAAATACATATGATCATTTCTGGAACCAGGAGAGATATTTCAAGGCATTGGATCCCGAAGGGAAAGGAAACAAAGGCTATTTCTACAGAAATTAAAAATCAGAGGGTATACAATAGTCTAGTACCATCTTACCCTCATTATGCCACAGGCTCTGAGATGCTACCTTTGGAATAAATGAATCAAAGTCAGAATAAACCTCTCGTCAGAAAAGCTCATTTCTAAGTAGACTGAAGGAAATTCTTAAAATACGAGTCACGTCTATTATAACTTTCCCCTATTTTAAATATTGCAAAACATAATTGCGTATAGCATGGTTACCTCCAATTATTTTCTTTCCAAAAATAAAAATAAAACACTGGGTTTTAATGGCAAAAAATTCTTGCAATTTCTCAAATTTTCTTTTTTGTCTTTTTCCTTTTTGTCGGTATCAGGGATCAAACTCACGACTGCCTGCTTGCAAGGCAGGCGCTAATGCCGCTGACCTAAATCCCCAGCCCCTAAATTCTCAAATTTTCAACCCACACTTGTCATTATTTTTTTAAAAACAGAATCCATAACCTCCTAGAAGTTGCTAGTGAAAATTGTCCTTTTACGGAACAAGCTATTAATTAAGACACCTGGTTGCATGTCTCTTCACAGACAAAATTAACAAATATGATAGCTCAAAAAATATGTGGATAAAGAATTTTAGTAATAAATCATACATAGATCCACTTATGCTAGGGTTCTTCAAGCAAAAGCAAAGCCCTTTTACTGATCGCAAACAGTTCACTCCTACTACAATCAGCCATCCAAGAAATACAACCTCTCCATGCAGAGTCAAAAAGAAGCCAAATCGGGAGTCTGAGGATCCCATGTTCACTCACTTGTCTTCTGCGAAACTTTTTCCAGTAATAATATTCTTCCCTTGGGGTACATAGTTCCAGTATTCTTCCACAATCCCAAGGTAGTATGTTCTGGTAACTGCACCAACCAGCCCAGGCAGACCCAGGAATGTGAGGAGAAGGATGCAGCCAGTCGGCTGCTTCCGAGGCATTTGTGGATGTAACTCAGGCAGACAGCCTGCACAGGACACAGCCTTGTTGGTTCCTCCCCCTCACTCTGAGCTAGTTATAAATAAGGAATGGACAAGGAAGGCTTAGCTCCTCCTCCTCAGGTGGCTCAGGGTTGGGACAGAGGCTGATGACTTGTGTAAGTAGAACAAGCTTGATGGGAGAGTTGCTATGATAACAAAATTTTTGCCAGCCATCCAAGAAATGTGTAAGGCTTATTCATTCACTGCCTAGCTAAGCAGACAGGTTTCTGTAAATTTTGGTACTCTGACACGAACCACTAATCTTTCTCAAGAATGGTAGCATAACAACTCAAACTGATGGGTCTCCCTCCACCCCCTACTTTTTAATCATAATCAAGAAAATGGGCTGGCTTTAGTGAACATCAGGAAATATTGTAAGCACTAAACAAGGCCTCTCATCTCTTTCAGGAAGGCAAAGGAAGTGATGTAATCACCCTCTAGTTTGTTTTATGAGGCTACATGAAACAATCAAATCACATCATAAAGTTCATAACGATACTGTAAAACCTCACGATTACTACATTAGCTCACATCCCATCTACCCCTACATCCTGTCAAACACCACCAGCAAAACTGAGAAGCTTGACTGTCTAGGCCAGCTAAATCTGCATCAGTGAGTTGCCGTTCTCAGGATGTGTGACACTGACAAGGGAGAAGAGGACCCATCAGAAGACAAGAGGCAGCAAGATGCCTGAGGGCAAAGGTGAAGGGTGTGCCATTCATTTCAGTGTCTAATCTGTGACCTAGAATCTCGGTGGTGAAATAAACCAAGTTTGACCTCGGAAGAGCCAATCTAATCCTACACAGCACTGCTCCTTAGGAAGCAACCACAGAGTGACAGAAATGGCCTACTGGGATTGAGATTGGACAGATATGATGTCTGCAATGTCCTGCCCACAGCCTCTAGCACAGAGCAGATGTTAGACGACATTGGAGGCCCATCTCCATCTACAGTCTCTAAGATTAGAGCCCGTATCATCCTATGTATCAATGAGATTGTGTTCTCTCTGATATTATTCTGCCTGCGTTTTACTTCACTTTCCTAAGGTCTCATCCTCTGTGCCTTCCACCAGTTTCAAATAAGGAGCTCTTGTTCCTTAAATTGTACATACTCCGTAGATGTTCCATGGCCCAGGTTCTAAAATGTGTCCTGACTCTTTATAAATGTCTATCTAAAATGTGTCCTGAGTACCCTGTTTCATATCCAGACTCTTCACGTTTTTTTTTTTTTTATTATCAAGAACACTGGGAGGAAAATTGCCATAGAACATTCCCTTTAACTAAAATCTACTCTTCAGTCTATGACACTGGAAAATTACTGATAATGAGGGTGTCCCATTATCAGCCACTATAGAGAACGCACAGGATAGCCCCTGAAAATGGCCTTTAAAAAGTAGAAAAATAGCAGGGGGTTTAGCTCAGCAGCATAAGCATCTATCTGGGAAGCAAAAGGTCATGAGTTCAATCCCTGATACCAAAAAGTGTGGAAAAGTAGGAATGTTTAGAATTTGGGAATGTCTCAAACCAAAAGGATTTTTGCTTATAAACCAAGAAATCAGGCTAATTTGGGTTCATCAAAAACTTTATTAGAATGTATTTCACCCAAATTCTTTTAGACAGGAGAAGCAGGAAGTATAAAGGATACAGAAGAATTAATTTTCCTATGCAGGATAAGCTCTGGAGAGGTATCACTCAGCTCCCAGTGCAAAACCAGGCCTGAAGGAAGAAGGATCAGGTTGATGCAATCACGGTTGTTACAACAGATGAAATCAATACATTTATCTAATTTTATTTCATTTATCTAATTTTTAACAGAAAGCCTCGTAATGAGGGCAAAAGATTTTAGTATGAACCATAAAATAAGGTCTCTTGAAATCTCTCTTAAAGTTTCCCTACCTTAGGAAATACACATGCTACTCAACAGTATCTAAATTCCATAACAGCAAAGCAAAGGGAAAAAACTGCTACATAAGAAGCTAGCGTTCTTTTTTTATGGAAAAAAATGTAAAATAGAATTTCACAGTAAAATAATAGGAGAATAACAATAGTTGATACATTGTATGCAATGTCATCTTGAAAGTAGTTGCTCAGAGGACAAGATGTGGGCATAAACAACTGTCCCATGGTGCAGCACAAATATTCATTTTAAATGAACTAAGCCCACTAATAGCATAACTAACTTGCATTTTTTCCCTTTTTTCTTCCTTCCTTTCTAATTTCCCCCATCCTATTTCCTTTTCTCTTTAAACAATTTCTCCCCATTCCACAATATCCATTGTGCATTTTAGACTTTTTCAATTTCCCACATCAAGGAGACAATATGATGTTTACACGTGTGAGTCTGATTTATTTCACGTATAAGTATGGTCTCAAATTACATCCATTTACCTATAAAATTCTCAAGTTTATGAAGGTAATGTTCTTGTACTACTCATTTCTGAAAACATGATTGTATAGAAATAGAGTAAGAAACACGTGACTAATATTAACTAATGTTTTCAACTCCTTGGACACTATTCAGATACAAAGCAGGAAAAAATCATTTCTGGAGCATCTATTAAGTGACATAGCCAGGTCTGAATGATGATAGCTTGATTCTGTGTGTCTATAGAAAAGAAAGGTGAACTTGGATCAAATTGTTTTTCTCTGAAATGTTACACCAGAACATTTAAATAAAAATTTCATTGGGAAAAGAAAAATCAACTAAATAATATTCTCAATAGAGTTAGCTGAAATATCATTTTAAATAACAATTTAAAATATGAGTGACAAAATTGGCTAACCCATTTGAGACTTTCTGCACTTTTTTGAGATACTTGCTTAATACTCCTTAAAGGACTCTTAACATCCCGAAGTCTGATCACAAGCACTATCAGCCCAACTTTCTCTGTTCTACTACAGGAGACAAAGGCTCTCACACTTGATTGGGGCCTCACCTGTCAATGGCACTCACTATCTCTCACCTGAGTCCTGCAGCCTGTTAACTGTTCTTGGTGGTACCAGTGTGGCCTCCTAAAATGCAGACAGAGCCAGGTCTCTCTGCTGGATGAGATTTTTCAGTGGTTTTCCGTGGACCCTCAGAATCAGGGCTGATGGCCTTAACTTGATTGTCAGGCCTGATCCTGACTTGACTTCTGGGACTGGGTCGGGGCCTCTCCTCATCTCCTCATCTGTGCTGTAGTATTCATCGTCATGGCCACCAGTGTGCCTTCCACCTGTGTTCCCACCACTGCTGTGCATGCTTTTGCATGCACTTATCACGGAATATAGGAGCCACCTGTTTATTTGTCTGCCCTTCCATGCACAAAGACTTCCGCTGGGACTGGACCTTGTTCATCTCTGTGTCCCTAGTGTCTGATGTGTCATAGGCATCATTGAAATGGTGGCCCAATGCATGTGTGATGGAATAAATGAATGAAAAAATGAGTATCAGACATAAATATATATGGATATAAATATATGTAAAAGTACATGTTATATAGGAATCTCTATGCTAAGCCCTTGATATGTGGCAGGCACAAGTAGAAATTTACAATTCTGGGATATGTGTACTACAGCAGGTCATAGGCATATATTGTATGAGACTGAAGTTTAGGCAAAAGGACACCTGTGTGTGGGCAGGTGTGTGTGAACATGAGTATGCATGTGTGTGTGGTCCTGGAGATCAAACCCTGGGCTTCACGTATTTTACCACTAAGGGAGCACTTTTAAAAGTAAGAAGAAAAAACATGATTTGTTTTGAAGCAATAATCCTTGGTTACAAGAAATAATAACAAAAGTGGCATCAACCCGAGGTAAGACAGGAAGTTGCTGAGCAGATTTCCTCACAGAAATATTCTCTATGTGAGGTGGTGATTCTGGCAGAATCTTTTGTGACAGTTCTTCTCATGAGATGAATATTCACCAGGGCCCTCCCTTCATAACTTCCCAGCTTCACTTACTTACTGAGGGCTGACATGACAGACGCCATTTTGAGTCTGACAACCTTCATATGTGCATCATCTCACTTATTACAACAACCCTCCAAAGTATGTACCATTTTTATCCTTGTTTTACAGATGAAGAAGCTAAGGTTTAGAAAGGTTGGGTAATGTTTGTTTCTCAGTACCACACAACTAATAAATGATGGAGTTCTGTGACTCTTCAAAGCTATCATTCTTGTAATGACAACACCTAACGACAGCAGGACACTGGAGAACACCACTATCTGCTTTACACTGTTGAATGGTACTTACTCTTTATAAAGAAATATGCTCAGTCACCTGTTCATTGCAGGAGTGTCCCCAAATGCCTACCCCTTGTGCCCCTGTCAGTCCAGATGAAACCCTAATCATTGCAGAACCTAAAAAACAATCAAACACACCATTTTATGTCCAACCCTCCTCCCACCCTGTTCTCCACCTTCACCAAATTCCTTCCCATCCTCTCAGGTCCTCCTGGGCTCTTCCTCTCCTTGGTTCCTGCCACACCCTCACTCTCTTCCTGTCTCCCAGTAGCTAATCACTCCTTCTTTTGTGCTTCTTCCCTATTCTGCCCATGTTCATCTTTTTATTTTGTACTGTTGATGGTATATATGCTACTCTGTCTTACAAATTGTACACTCACTGAAAACAGTATCATCTTAGTCTCCACACCTCTCCTACTACTCCTAAGTTCTGGAAGTTTTATTAAAAGTGTTTGCAGGTCAATGCCTGCGCCACCTTCCATTTCCCAGCCTTTGGACTCTATCTAGTCTCTGTGTTCCACTTTTACTTAAAGTTTCGCTTTGCCTAACTTTTTGCAATTGAATGTCCTACAGGTTTATGCAACTGATTTGCAGGGGTGGGCCTCAGCTCTAGCTCCACAATATTTTTTCTTTGCTTTTCTTTCTTTCTTTTTTTTTTTTTCCTTTTCTTTTTGGTACCAGTGATCAAACACTGGACTTCATGCTTGCCAGGCAGGTACATGCCATTGAGCCATATCCCTGGCCCTCTGCAATACTTTTATTTATGCCTCTGCTCTAAACTTTGGA